TTCTTCAATTTTCGAAAATCGAAACAAGATAATATAAAAAAGCATTTTTCTCGTGTAGGTATTTAATAGAAATTGATAATATTGTTTAACCCAAAATAATTTTAAAAAAGTGGGACTTTTCTTGTTAGCAACACCTTTTTTTTATTTTATCATTCATGAGGTGAAATAAAGCGTCCGATTTATACTCAAACGAATTGAATACAACATTTTATTCTTCGAATTAGACTCAACAAGGCTTAAACTTGCTTTAAATCTAATAAAAATAATCTGACATTTCGTATTGAGAAATGTCAAACAGTTGTTAAAGCTTCCTTACACGGGAGATTTTCATGAGGTCGGGAAGTACACAAAAAAAGTACGTGTTCAACGAATAAGAAAAGTGAGTTTTCTAGCTCGGAAAAATTTGATTCATTCGTTACACTCGTGAATCAATCTGTTTTCACTCGCTAGAAAACCATCACTTTTCTTTACTTGTTAAACAATCTACTACTTCCAACAACCCTAACAGAAAGTAAGTTTTTTCACCTTAATTTCAGAAAGGAAAGTGGCCAATTACCTCCTTGGGAAGTAAAATTTTTACTTTCTTTATAGAAACGAAAGAACATACTGCTAGATTTAATGGTTAAATTGTTAGTTTTAAAGTTTTTCTTGCTGCATTGTTTTACTCTAAAGGAAAAGATACACTTTTTTTCTTTGTAATACAAATAACTGTTATTTTAATGTAATTTCAGATTTATAATAGGTAACTAAAATTTTATAGTTTAAACTTTAAGTATAGTTTTTTATTCTGACATATTAAAACAAAACTCTTGGCAGCATTCCATTTTTGCATAATCGCTTTAATATTTCAGCAACGTTTCTTTTTCATATTTATGTGTTTATTCACTATGGAAATTAACTTTACGTGCACTTTTAAAAATAAATATCATTGAATTTTAATACATTGAAGGGAAAAAATAATAAGCTAGTATATATCTAAAGTCTTGTACCATTTATTTAATTTTTTTTTATTAAAAATTTTTCTTTAGAAATCCCTTAATCCAATTTAATGTTTTGTTATTTTCGATTTCAATACGAGCGCATGTTGCCGTCGTATAGCGGATTACTTCACTTTTGTATCGTAAAGACCTAATCCTTTTTATTGCGTTCTCTTATCAAAAATACAACAAACCATTCCGGTGCAGCAATAAATTACAAAACAAATTGCTGAAATGTCTGAACAAAAAAAAACTTGTAATTGCTCTCTCCGAATGAAATTATTTGGGCGACGAAAAGTTTAAAGCTTTAAACAGAGTTTCATCAAAAAAATTGTGGCTTTCTGAATCCCCGGATAGTTCTGGATGCTCCTCTTTGTTACAAAGTTGATAACGCAACCACTAAAAAAACATTTTTCAGTCGAATTTGTTTATCTCAAAAAATAGGTCGTGGCATAAAAGCTGTCACTCATGAAAAATTGAACATGAAACATTTTTTCCAGATATATACTTTCACTGGCGTTGGCAGATCTGCTTGTTATAGTGACAAGTGTCCCTTTCACTTCGATTATATACACTGTGGAATCATGGCCGTGGGGTGAACTAATCTGTAAGGTGTCCGAAACGGCCAAAGACATCTCCATTGGGGTCTCAGTATTCACACTTACTGCACTATCAGCCGACCGCTTTTTCGCCATTGTGGATCCTCTCAAGAAGTTTCACACCACGAGTGAGTAAAAGCTTTCTGGAACACATTAAAAAATTTGACTTTTAAATTTTCGGACTGGAAAATCAATAGATAGAAATTATACATTCGAGTAGAAAAAATTCAGTATGTGTCATATTAGATTAGGGTTGGTGTTGTCTCCCAGCCGGGTCGTTCTCTTGACTTGTTTTCATATTGTTTTCGATTAAAATAAATTAACTTGTGCCTTCGAGTGCCATTAAAACAAATGCTATTTATCACTTCTCTAATTGCGTTAATTTTTCAGTTTCTTTTTTCAGGTGGAGGGAGGAAAGCCACTCGCATTACTCTCTGTACGGCTATTTCTATATGGATTTTGGCGATTTTGTGCGCCATTCCTGCCGCAATTGGATCACACTTGAAGGATATAGAAGGACAGTTTATCGTCTGTTATCCCTTTCCTACTCACTGGTTGAACAATAAGTATCCCCAAGTGATGATTATATTGCGATTTCTCATTTTATACGTTATTCCTCTAACTATTATTGCAATTTTCTATCTCAACATGGCAAACCACTTGATTGTCAGCACTAGAAACGTTCCGGGAGAAATGCAAGGGACACAAAGACAGGTCAGTGAGATTTTATAGTAAGTGGATTATTAAGTTTCATCGATTTTGAAGCAAAATACGACGTGGCAAATTACTTTTAGATTATCTCCTATCCAATTTCACAGAGATAAGCTTAAAAGCAAAATTTTGACGATAGGGTGAAGAGGGTGATAATGATTGGAAAAATAATTAAAATGCAATTTAATTTTCATGTGTTCCAAATCGGTGTCTTTGAAGCAGTTTGCTATATTTTTTAAATTAATTTCAACACTATGTATTATACAAAATTTTCAAGTAAGGTTAGATACCAGGAACATGAAAAAAATGTCCAAAAAAATTCTATCTGTCAAAAAATTTTGACATTTATTTTTTGACATTTGACATTTTTTTATGTCTATTTAATGATACTGATGATCTTGTATATGTTTTTTTACAATTACTTAGTAAAAGGACAAAAATTTTGCCAATAAAAGCCACAAATAACATTGAACAGAGTTATAATACAGAAATAGAGTCAAAGTACAGACTTTAAGCCCTCATAACTTCGAAATTTTTATAGATAAAATTTTTTTGACATTTTTTCCATGTTCCTGGTATTTTACCTTATTTTCTCTGGGGCGCCAGTTCTGGCGCTGTATAAAAATGGATTAATTTGTTTCTATTTTATTATTCGATTAAATAAAACAAACACTACACATTATTCAAATTATTTTAGTGAGTGGAAATTAAGTCTCATTTCCTATCGCACAAATCGATAAAGTTTCTCATTTATATGATTTTTATTATTTTTACTTTAAGCCAAGTTAATTAAATTGCCATGAGGTGCAAATCTTGGAAGTATCCTTTGCTCAAGTCACGTTTTAGTCAAGATTTTTCGTAAAAAAGCCAATAATTTAATTTAAAATTTTCGCAAAGCTTTTTCAAGTCTGCGAGTTAATCCTTGACTAGCTTTCAACTTAAATATTTTCCTCGGTAACACAAACTTAGTTTTTAAATTAATTGAATTTCTTTTAATTTCAGATCAGAGCTCGCAAGAAAGTCGCAGTCACGGTCCTGATCTTCGTCCTCGTCTTCGCTGTGTGTTTCCTGCCTTCTCACATCTTTATGCTCTTTTTCTACTTCCACCCAAACTTCAATGAAATGTACAACGCCTTCTGGCACTATTTAAGAATAATTGGTTTCTGTTTATGTTACTTGAATTCATGCGCCAATCCGGTGGCTCTTTACTGGGTTAGTGGAGCTTTCAGGAAACATTTTAATCGGTAAGAGGAAAAAAGCGCTACAATGATGTAAATCTTGTCTCACAAACTGAAGTAGATTTATGGCAACTATTCTACGACAAATCGGGGAATTTCACTCCGGGGAAAAATTTATATGCTTGCTGGAAGATCTCACCGAAAACATTAGTTTATCGTTTAAATAAAGCGCTTTCTTATCGTATAAAGCGGTAAAGTTGTTTATAGTATGAAAGGGATTAACATAAATTACGAATATAATGCACTTATCCTGGGAAATAAAATTTATGTATGGAGGTACAGCCAACGGCAAAATTAACGATGCACAAGGGTTACATACTAAAAATAGAGCGTTAATAATATATGAACCGTTTTAATTTCAACTCGAGGCAAATATTTGACATTTTGTCCAAAATCTACAGTCGTTCCAGGATCCACGAAATTGAAAGCAAATATGTTTCGTTCTCGCACAAAATATTACACGTTTCACTGCTAAATATTACTGTTCATCTATTATTGTGCTCTTGAGGCTAGACGGGAAGTACTTCATATCTTCATTCGTATTTTACATTTTTGATGAAAAATTATTATGTGGAGTTTGTAGAGATTACAAGATTAAGTTTTGGTCGAATAAATTTGGAACAAACGAGACATAAAATGACTTGTGACCAAATAGAGTCGCTATTAAATCACGAGCTTTTAAAATTTTTCAATTTCAAGCGAGTTTATGAGAGTATGAAATCAGCAAATTCCAAATAAATGCTGAGCTTTTTCCCGATAGCATACTCATATTTCGATTACAGTTAATAGGATTAACTCATTTTTGAATTTACAATCAATAACTATAAATTCCTCACCGAGATAGCGACACTCGACGTTATCTCAAACTCTTTAAAAACCAAAAAAATAAAAAGCTCATTTAGATGCATTAAAAGCGCGTTTATTTTCTTATCACATTAATGTGAAAAAATCGTCTTATACTCCCGGAAAAAATTGTTATGGTTGTTTTAAAATTATGGCTTTGATGACTACAAAGCTGTGATCTCTTTCTCTGAAAAAATTTCTTTCCTGAAAAACACTTTTTGCAAGGGTGTGAATTGAATAGCAACCGCCTCGAAACCGCAAATCCCGTTCATAAACAACATCCTGGCATTTTTCACAATATTGACTATGTAGATTTATTAAAACTTTTCTTTTGTGTGATTTTCGACAAAAATGCAAACTTTGCTAACAATTCAAAAAACGTTCAAGGAAAGCTCAACTTTATTGGCTTTATTGCACTAACAACCGCACAAAGTTTTCATGAGTATACAGAGTGCGACAGAACTCGCGCCCCAGAGAAAAATGTCCGGAACATGGAAAAAGTGTTAACAAAATTCTACCCATAAAAATTTCAAAGTTTTTGGACTTTGACTCTATTTGTTTCTGTTAAAAAGGTAATTTTGTTACAGGCTATTAGAAGAGCAAACAAGGAAGGTGCATCCTAAATTGTAACACTGTTTTATGTTATTTGTGGCTTAAAAAAACATATAAAATATCATCACTATCATTAAAAAAACGTGAAAAATGTCAAATGTTAAAATATTTCCACCGATAAATTTTTTTAAATATTTTTCCATATATTTCTGGTATCTTATTTTACTTGAATTTTTTTTCTGGGGCGCGAGTTTTGACACACCTTGTTTAGAGACAGATTTAACACTGGAAAAAAAATTTTTTTTAGATATCTTCTCTGCATCAAACCGAAACGTTCCCGCTGTAACACTTGCCAAGGCCAACACCAAGCAACCACTCTTTCCTACGTCCCAACCCGGAAAAATATGTCGGTTTGTAGCCGGAAAAGTCGCGGGTTGTCCATCAACCGGCGAGAGCCCGTCAATGGACAAGAAACCTCCATCACACTTTTAGGTAACGGCAACGGTCACGTCTGTAGCAAAATGTAAGCCATTTTTCTTTGATATTAATTTTGGAAAAGAGTTTGATTTTTTTTATATCGATCTGTGAGACAGCGAACGAGTCTGTACATAGTCAATGTTGAAGCTTAAGGGAAAAGAGTACACTTACAAACCAATTGTTAATCTTGATGTACAATATTCGATGTTTAAATAAAATGTTTTCAAGTAGAAATGACCGTTTTTTTACCCGAGTAAACGACCGGAAAATCCGGCTTTGTTTCAATTTTCTGTTTATTTATTGAATGGGATAATTGGTCATTTTTCCGGCACATTAACCAGAATTTTTGATCAAAAAAATTCGACTGCAGAAATTAATCCAACTTGGCGAGAAAACAGGAAATCAAATAACTTTGCCGACGTAAAAGTTCGTAAATTTTCAAGCATCCATTTAAGGCCAAATTTGATGTTTATTTCTGTGGACAGTTTGAATTATAATTTCACCCGAAACCGCTCAAGTGTAAATTTTATTAAAATTCCTATATACAGCGTGTTCCGTTTTTATTGTTTTAAACAGGTAATAGAAAATCATTTTTCACCCAAAACATTCCTATAAATACAGGGTAATTCACGAAGAATAATGAGCCTGACCAAATTGTCGATGCAACCAACCAATATAAAAAATACTCTGTAAGAGAACTACATCTTCTGAAAGGGCGTCTTTCAATGGGTTTTTCTCAATATTTCAGAAACCATTTTTAAAAAAATTACAAAATGCTGAACCAAATTTTACAGCCGTCAACCTTAAACATCTACACGAATTTAAAGAAAAATGTCGAAATCTTTAATCAGGGATGTGTTAAACTACAGAGAAAACTATTTTGGCTGCCACTTTCAGCAAAAAAAAATAATTCTATAGTTTTTCACGTTTTTCCGATAAAACTTACCGTTTTTTGAGTAAAATCAGTTTAAAATTCATATTACAAATTATAGACAGCATAAAAATTTAAAATTAAATCCGTTTTACCCCATAGGTACTCAAGTTTTGAACGCCTCTGATTACAAATTTCGACATACATTTGATTTTTGAATTTCTTTAGATGTGTAAAAGTTATTAGCAAATTTTATAAATTTACCTGTTCTAAAATACTGCCAATAATTCATTAAACAAGGCATTTTTTTCAAGGGGTGTAGTTCTCTTACAAAGTATTTTTAGATACATGTTCATAAGGGACTTTTGCCTTAGAATTAAATATTCTATCACCTGTTTAAATTTGTAACAATTACAACGAAATACCCTGTATAAACAGGAACATTTGATAGTCATTTCCATAAATTCCTAGTTTAAGTTTTGACATAATATTTCGGTTGTGACGTCGGACTCGACCTACCTGTTGCTTTCTTTTTTCGTTTAATTCAAACAGAAGATCATTTCTAAAATTAAGCAAACTCGTGTAAATACGAGTAGTTTAACAAAACCACAAATTATATATATTAATAAGTTCGAAAGCACATTTATAAAGGAATCCGTAATCCCGAAATAATTTTGCATCTTGAAGCTTATTTTCTAATTTCTAATTATTTTGCTTAACTCAATATTCTTGCAATTACAACTAAGATACAAATGTTTCGAATATGTGAAAATCCTCTTTTTTTTATTGCATCAATAGTTGCTTTCACCAATTTTGTTACTTAGTATCAAGCATTCTCTTTCAACGTCTCTCTGAAAAAAAATCCCACTGAAATTCGGTATCCAGTTCACCCAATTTCCCGGCTCAATGTCAATCTCAATGATGGAAAACTTCAGCATCTTTCCGTTTGGGAGTAATTCATATCGTTACAAGAACAGTTCTTTGTTTTATGTTGAGTGAACATAAAATTCAAACATAAAAAGAATGTTTTGCCCCATTAAGAAAATTAGTATACATCTGAGTAACCGAGACTTTTCAAAACGCAGCTATTTAATTAGTTTGGGAAAATAATTGGATTAATTAGATTGAGGAACGTTGAGAGAGATTTGTCAATTTTATCCAGTTTTCTTCTTTTATTTTATCTGGAAATAATAAATCGCAAATTGACGTTATTTCCGTATTCTAAATTTTTTCTCATTAGCTTCCTCTCTGAAAGACAATATTGGATTTGCATTAACTTTGAGACGGAAATTACGATACGAAGCCCCTATTTTGAGACACTCAAAAGAAGAATTATTAAAATTGATTAAACAACCAAATGTACAATTAAGGAGGAACGCTATTACTTATCAGTAATTGATAACTCAATTAGAGCAAACTACCGGAACAGATGTCACCCTAACTTCGGCTAATGTGTGCAAATGTGCACTTTGTGTTGCCTATGCAACACCCTATTCCAACTTGAATTTCAAATTAAATAAAACTGGCCTTAATCACAAAAAAATGAAATAATAATCCGCTTACACAAAGTGTATCTATCGAAAAAGCGACTTTGAGGAAAATTGATTTCTTAATTCGTTATTCGTCTCGAGTTCATATCAACTCTCAAGTACTTTTCTGTATGAATAACTACGCACAAAAATAGCAAAGAAGACTTTTGGTGGAGAAAATTAAACTAATATAGTGAAGTCAAGAGGAAACAACCCGCATACAAGACAAACATTTCATCAAAACGCGATAAATTCCAGGTTCAAAGGATATCCGACTTTAGTTAATTCCGGTTTTGCGTTAACTTGTTTTCAAAAATTAATTAAGTCAGTGGCACAGAACAAAATCAGGCAAAATTATTTTGTAGTGGTAATAAAACTAAAATTATATTTTAAAAACAACCAAATTGAACATTCGAATTTTGTATACCATTATTTTTGATGTTGTCTTAACTTAAGATTTACAAATTTGTACTTTTTATTTTGTAAATTGCGATAAAACTGTACTTCAAACGTAAATTGTTACGAGAAATCGATTGTCGCCGAGAAAACTGCAAAATTTTTAATCGTTTAGAAGTTATAGTTGAATTAATACAGGAGTGTTATTTCTGATTTTTTTTCCGCAACTCATTATACATATTGCAACAATTTCTTAATTTCAATTTTTGAAAATAATTATAACTGAATTCACGATAGCTTTTATTAGTCTTGTCTCTTTGACATTAAGGCAAAAAAATCATCTCTCAAACCATGCCACATGTTTGGTTATCATTTACCAACCGACTATTCGAATATTTAGAAGCCGATGGTAGACACTTCAAACACCTTTTACATTAACTTAACTTGTTAATTTATTTGTTGAATTTTGATTAAATATAGATTATCTGTCAATCTGACATTTTTGGCAAATCTATCCAACATACTTTGATTTCTAATATAAAAGAAATAACATATTTATTAGCAGTTAGTGATATTGGTATTGTTGGTTGCGGCAAAAAAAATCATAAATCGTGAATAATCTTGTGTTTTAGATATTTTTTACTATATCAGCATTTTTTTCGATAAATATTTAACGTAGGACAATTACCTTTGTTTTATACAATAAAAAATTAAATTTGTTTTCCAACAGTACCAAACAAAAAGGGCTAGTGTCAATAGTTCCGAAGTTATTAGCAATAAACCGCTTCAGGTACCGAAAATCGCCCAAAATTTTGACAAAAATTAAAACTTTAAAATTGAACCAATTGCACTCTTGGGGGTTCAAAAGACTCAAAAAAGTACAAAAACTTAAATTTTTTTGCGTAAGTCTGTATAATAAATAGTATATTGAATTAAAACATTGTGACTGTCGGACGGCGTGGTGGCGTAGAGATCATTTCAAACAAGTACAGCACGTTGAGTCATCACGATCTGACAAGTAGACTTTGGCCATAGGCGTAACGAATGGATTCGTGAGAAGGGGCATTTTTGAATAATAGATTTTATTAAGTATAAAAAAATGTTTAAAAATAAAATATATAAAATATTAAAATACCAATTTCTATTAATTAAAAAACGCAAACATTCTAAACACATTGTAACTTACCGTAACAAAAAACAAATATTAATTCCGAAAAGATCTGATTCAAAAAAATTTGGAATAATATTGAAAGACGACATAACACGGGAAAACCAAAAGTAACAAACGCATACGAATAGAAAAAATATAATGAGATGAAGCCCTGTTAGCATCCCAGGCACAAGATCCCGCTTTCCGGCAGGTAGGTGTGAGGTTTGAACTTCGCTCAAGTCAGCAATTTTTCACTAATTCAAATTCTAAGACTAATTCAAATTAACAATAAAAGATAGAGAAAGGGCATAAGAGCTAATAAGAGAGCAAAGCGCATAATACAAACTTAAATAAGCACCAAAAGAGCGCGAACTTTAAAACATGTATCTTCAAAAGTGTTAATAGTGTAATAAGTCATTTCTGTATAAGTAAACAAAAAGCAAGTTAAAGGGAATATAAACAAAAGGTATGTTTTGTAATAAAAATTAAGAAATATAGTTTCTTTATTAATTATTATTATTACTAATAATGCAAATAAATGTAAAAGATAAAAGCACCAGAGTGTACTAGTGAAATAGATATAAGTAAACAGAAGGTAAGTAAAATGAAAGATAAAGTAAAAGTAGCATAAAATGTATAATGAAAATTATGCCTTGAAATAAATAAAAACTTTTCATTATTTTGTAAATTTCGTCTAAAGTGTATTGGCAATGGTTAATGTTTTAAATAATATTTATGACGTGTTTTTTCACGGTGATATGAGTGTGTTGTGAACGGATCACAATTTTTAATACGCCCGGCGAGGTGTTAAATGTCATATTTATTAATAACTTTCAATACGATGGTTTGTTCACAATCAAACTTTTATGCATAGCCCTGACACCAAATTAAAAAAAAAACATCCGATATTTAGAAAACAGTTTAATTAAGTAGTGTTTGACTATTAAGCCGTTTCAATAATAATATTGTTGTGGATACAATTTTGTTTTTCCATGGCGGTCTTACAAATAAAATTCGTTAGTTAAAGAAATAAACATAAAAAATTGTAGAGATCAAAATAGGCCCAAATTTTTGAAATTATACGGACTTTAAAGATTTTGACTTCAACAACAATAACTTTTTAACGTATCTGTTACTAAAAAGCTATCTTGGATAATAATAAAAAAAAAATTAGTTGCCCGATGATTTTGGGCCTAGATGTAGATTTTGAACAACTTTTCTTATAAAATTTTGGTTGTATTTGTAACACAATAGATAGATATTTTAAAAAAATTG